CCGTTCATGTCACTTGAACACGCCTAAGGTTTGTCAGAAGAATTTTTAAACCGCACTTTTGAGAACTTTAGTAACTTTTGTACTTCAAAGTTGTACGTTTTGCGAAATCTGCATTAAGTTCTCTGTTGCATTTTGTACCTTTTTTCTTTTAAAAAAATTTACTATGGATAAAATTATAGTTTAAATCTTTCAGCAAACCAGTCTTGGTGAAATCCAAATAGGAACAACAGAGCATGTTTATGGCAGAATTGAACTGATTCTCGGTCCAATGTTTGCTGGGAAAACGTGAGAGTCGCTTATTTATCTAATATTTTTCAATTTTTCAATGACGCTAGTTTTAAATTTGATTGAAAAATGCGTAAAAAGGTATTTAGAACAGAACTTTGGCGCCGCGGTACTCGCCATGCTTTAGCGGGTCGTAAGTGTTTGGTTGTGAATTATGACGATGATCGTCAGAAATGTGCCGAGAAACCATTTACTTACAAGTATTTTTTTCTCTTGGTTTTTGCTCTTTCACTTGGGAAAGTTTTTACTGTGGCGCTTTAAGCGACTTTCTTAACTAGAATTAAACTATGGGGAGTTTTGAAACGAATCAGATACTTCCCTTACGCAGGAAATCTTTGGAACCATATAAGTTCAAATTTCATCTAGTTCTGGTTGTACTTTTGTTATATGTGAAGCAGGAGTTGTGGTTGAATTAATGGATGGAAGATGTGTTTAGGGTTTTGAAAGTGAGGTCTGAGGGTTTCATAGCTGTTTTAGGATTTAGTGCTTAGTTGAATAGTTACTTTTTTAACAGGCAGAGCGGAATGAAGATTTCTTTGTTGTGTTCAGTACTACCTTTTATTTTCTTGATACTACCATTTTTGAGACAGTAAAATTTGCTTGGGATCATATGGTTTGCTTCTAGCAATTTTGTCAAAAGTATGACAACGTTTCTGTTTGTTATTGGTTAATGTTTCGTTTTCAAGAGTTATTTTATAAGAAGGGAGGCAGAAAGCGCTTTGCAGTATTTCCGTTAATTATAATTGGTGTGACACGTTGGGCTTCTAGCTCGCACCTTCTTGAGACAACCAGTGCTACAAGGTTGGAAGACGTTTACCATCAGTTCGCGGAGTGTGAAGTCGCCTTAATCGATGATGCGCAGTTTGTATGCTTTTTTGCTTTACATTTTGTTTCATTATCGGTGAGCCAGTTTCTTTTGCGAGTGACAGGCATTAGGGTTGTGTTTTTCATTGCTAACTGTTTTTTAGTTTCTTGACGTGGTTGATATCACTGACCGTTTAGCGAATTCTGGTAAGATTGTGATCGTTTCTGCTCTCGATGGTGACTATCATCGTAAGGTTCGTGTAAAACGCTTTGTTTACTTTTATAACTGAATTGTTTTCATACTTGAAGGCTATTAAATTCAGTCGTGCTTCATCGTTCTTGAGGTTATATAATTTCTCTACGTTATAGCCGTTCACAAATTCGATCTTGGATCTCTGCCCTCTATCGGAAGCTATTACGAAGCTCTGTGCCGTCTGCTGTTACTGCGACAGTGATGCTGCTTTTTCGCGTAAATTGACTAACAGTAGCACGGTAAGAGTTGCAGTAAATTTTACAGTTTAAATTTGTGATTAAGAATAGTGCTGGTGTGGTGATGATTAGTTTTTTTTCTTACAGGGAGATGCAGCTAGTGAGAAGGTTAAGGCATACCAAGCGGTGTGTAGAACTTGCTATATGCGAAACACCAAACCCTTATCAGTTATCCAAGATTATGAAGCTGTCGAAAATGCTATTGAAAGAGAGTCGAGTTGGTTTGCTAATAGAAGCATGGAGGGTGTTAGAAGCTGTTGTAATTGAAGCAAATTTTGTGTTCATTGAGCTTATGACATCATCTTGGATTATATATTGTGTGCAGCTAAAACAGGCTTGCTATCTTCTTCGTCGTTTTCTAAATTCTTACTCACTTTTCACGTAGTATGCCAATCAAATTAAAAGTTTTCCTCTCTAATCGTGTGGATCGATGTTGTGTATTACCGTTTATAATTACTCCTACGTTGTAGCATGGGGGGCTGCTCAGTTTTTTGGACCCTACGTTGTTGTCATGTCGCTTTTCGTAGCTTGTTGTGTGTTTTTTCAAATAATTTTGAAGTGAAAGCTGTAGTTGTGTTATTTTTGGCAAAGTTGTTATCATTTTTGTTATCACCATTACGGGGTCACCTCTATCAGTACCAAACAACTGGTTTCTAAAAGTTGTGACGAATCTGAGATGTTATCTGGGGTTTTGAGAAGTGAGTTTGGTATTAAGCTGATGGATTGTAGGGTTGGTCAAGGGTCTCATGGTGGTACTGTCCTAGTTGGATTTCGAAGGTTTACTTTTTTTTTCTAAATTGTTTTGCCATTTCTATTTGAGTATGAGTTCGTGGTTTGGTGCCGCTTCTTTGTAAAAATTTTTTTGAATGCTTACCTGTAGAATGTTTGCACCTAGTTTTTTTTGGCTTGTTCGTTTAGGGTGGGAACATTCGTCTTCTTCATTGATTCGTTTGAGTGATTATTGTGGTACAACTTATTCGCTTATTGTAATAAATCTGCAAATATTTTTTGGAAGAATTGACAGTTTAGGAAGAATCGAAGTGAGTTAGCAGTCGTCGTGAAGTTTGTTCCTATAAAGCTTGTCGATTCTTCGCGTCCTTCACAATCTTTCCTTTGGTGAGAAAGTCTTCACCTTTCCAATTCGGAAGTTGGACTAATGGTGAGATGGCTGTGTTTAGTAAGACCAATTTTTCCTTTTTTTTCGACTCGTTGGGGGAATTCTTTTAGCTCCTTGGCGAGAGGTGGTTGCTTGTAACAGAATAAAAAGCTTGGTAGCTTTGTAGGGTTTTTTGTTGTGAAGTGTAGGACAGGGCTGGTGGTATTCGTTTGCCTGCTACACCCAGATCATTGTTGGTGAGGTTAACCAGTTTTAGAAGGGCTAGGTTGCGTGTAGGTAATGTAGCTTCTAAAACTAGAGTTGTAACTTGCAAAGGTTTTATGCAGGCGGTATTTGTCTGCATGGTCAGAAAAGTAATATCGGAAGTGTCTCATTTAATTGGGTTTTTTTAAGACTTGCATTGCTCTTTACCTTTGAGTGATTATTGGTTGCAGCTCTTAAACTTAGCTCCCTTTAGTTCAAGTAGTCGTCAATCTCTTCCTTCTTTCCAGAACTGTTATTGATAATTAATTGTTTTACTCAGTTCACTTTAACTTGACAGATGTAAAAAATAAGATGTTTTCACAACAAGGACACAAAAATTCTGGCCTGGAGGAGGTGGTTCGTATAGAGTGATGTAATAAAAATGAGAATAATAAAACCCAGCTTCAGTTGCTCAAGCAGGGTGCTACTCGCTAGCACCTTGCTTGGGTTAGTGGTTGCATCTCCGCCCCGGTGGGCAGGATTTCTTTGGGAACCCTGCTCACCGAGGCGGAGAAAAAAAAGGGGGCCACCAGCCCAAATAAGCTCCAAATTTTCTTCTTACAGTTACGCGCACGCTATTTACTGTTTATTAAATGCTTGGAGCTGTTTATTTGTTTTTATCTGTTTACTTGATATGGACACAATAAACTCCACTGATATCTTTTTTTCGAGTAGTGAAAGGCCGTTTTCTTATTCTTCAGGGGAGTGTGGTGACTGCGTTACAGATAGGGTTACTAATAGAATTGTAGGCGAGTAGGAAGAGTAGTGGTTGACGCGTTTCAATTACACTGTAGTTATCGTGGAATTTTTAAGGTTATACTTTGCACTAGTATCAACATCTTAAGCATTATATAATTGCGTATTTTTCTGCAAGATTGGACTTAACTAGGCATATTCCGCAAGCAACTTGTTCGTAGAGCGCTTTAAAGTATGTTCCACTTGATAGCCTGCAACCAATTATTACTCAAGTGGACAGTTCTTGCGGCAAACGAGTTTATGATTACAGATCACTGTCCGTTAGTTACTAAATGTATATGATGTCTATTGTCTTCGGTTGTTTCGCAATAAAAAGTTATTTTTTTTGCATTTTGTTGTGAAGGTATGTTAGATGGTAACCTCGATATTGAAAATGTATTGGAGAACTTTGCTAGAAGTCTAAAACTTTATTATTTATGTACATCGCATACAAGGTACATATTCGTTTTGGTTCAAAACAGAGGCATTATTAATTTATTTATTTAAGGTAGAAATCGGGAGAAATTTAAGTTTTATCATGTTCCATTCTAAATTTGTACTGTCTTTTTGTTATTGCTGCAGCCGTATAGGTTCCTGAACGAAATGATTCCAAGAGAGGTTTGTACATGGACGAATGTCTTCACTTGCGTTTGTGCTGGAAACTGTGGTTCGAATGTTCATCGAACGGTTTGGCAATAAAAATGCGTTGCTTGTTCCCGAAATTATAGTAACCGGCAAATTCAACTGTTTACCGTTTCCGGCAGTTGCATTGTCCACATCACGGTTTTTTTTCAACATTGCTGCATTTGCTGTTTGAAGACAGTTTAATGTATGCAATCCTTGTAGCTGTTTTTGACACTCTGAATTTAGCATGCTCTTCAAAGGTTGGTAGAGGTTAGAAGCCAAAGGACGAAAGCCTGCTTCTACAATTCTCCACTCTTCTCGTTTTGACGCTTGCATTTGTAAAAAGTCGGCAGTTGTTTGTGTAGCTTGTTCCTTAACTTGTTGGCTTTTCTTATTTTCTTCTGTCCTCTTCTGCCAATTTTGCACTTTGTATGCGGTCAATTCCTGTCTTGCCATCGTTTGGTTTTGTTTACCGGCAACAATGTTTTGATGCGGACATTGTCGAAATTTAACAGCTGAACATTCATTTTGAGTTTGGACATTTGTGGTTCGATATCTTTTGTTAAAACGACGTCTACTGGTTGGGGCTCCATTCCTTTGACATTCACCTTGTACCTTAGCGCGAGGTTCTTTACCTTTCGTTCTTATTTGTGTTTCAGTTTTCGTTTCGTTTTTTGTTGGAGCCCGGGCCGCTTGTGCGTTTAGTCCACCGTGTAGAAGTAGTCGAGCGTAGGCTAGTGTTCTAGAACGTTCTTGGGTTGCCTGCAGCTGTTGTAGGATTTGTGGCGGATACTGAGACATAAAAGGCGCTTGAACCTGTGTCGTTGGAGATCGCATAGTTGTGATCTGTGGTAACTGATACCGACAAGAGAGTAAAATGTTGCCTGAAGTACGTGAAATTAGAACTTTTGCCTCGGAAGAATCATATTTTTCAGTGATATTTTACCTATTAATTGAGAAACTGACAAATATTCATTTTATCGTTTCTTTATTCTTGGTTTTAAAAAATTTTGTTTTCAAATATTATGCTGACCCTGTCTTTCGGCGTTATATAGAAGTACCAATATGTAATTCTGTTACTTTATTTATAAGCCAGAGAAGTTGTGCTGCAGACCTGGCATTGTTGTAGGTGTCCTTGGTGACGCGGTTATGAAAGCATTTTGAGTAGATCTGTTGGTGATAAATTGTTGGCTAAGGTCCGGTACTGATGACTGAATTTTGTTGGTTGCGGACTGTGATACAGTGTTTGTTGGATATGTAGTAGCAATGCTTAGGGACTGAGCCGAATTTGCAAGTAAACGAGACATGCCGTATTGTAGCGGGGCGGCATTCTGTTGCTGGGATGCTGAGTTGCTGTCAGAGTTTAATGAATGCGGCGAAAAATTCAATAGATTTCCGTTTGTTTTAGATGACTGTTGGTGGTACGGTACCCAGAAGGCTAGTTTGGCAAGTGTTGCATCAGTTGCTGGTTCCTGTAATTGTTTCAAACTAGCAAAAAACAAGTAACAATTAATAAAAGATCTTGTTTTTTTCTTAGATTGTTGAAGTAAAGCGTTATTAACAGAAGGCTTGTCGTGTTTTGACAGAATGATACCAGCTAAAATGATCATGATGTGGGTTGCTAGGAAATATAAAGTTATTGAGCAGTCCTCTTTTTAATTTTGATTGTCACACAAAGTGCCGCGTTTAAGCTTTCGGTCACGACAACATTATCCTAATTTGTTAATGCACGAGGAAAGATTTGCAGATGACTAGAATGCATTCATCTTTGAGCATTTGGCCCTGTCAAACGTTTTTAACAGGACACCGCCACAGAAAAAACTTATTCGCTTAACTTCGAAAGACGTCTGGTAAAAAGGTTTATGAAAGTAAAAAATCAGCAAGTTTACAGCAACATCAGACCTGTGGATGTACTAATGTATCGTCTTCCAACATGTTTTTTTTTAACGGACTGTAATCGAGACGAAAGTCAGGCATTGAAAGGTTTTCGTATATTGCAGAATTTCTGTCCATATGTTGACTGAAATTTTGCAGATTAAATAATCATATCTCTCGGAGAAGAAAAAAAAAATAAATTCGTGAAGCGAAGTTCAGAATACAAAGTCCGCCGATCACACTAAAAATTACAACTTATTTTGCCAGCGACTGTTTGATTATAAATTAGCCAGAATCCGATTGCTGTGAAAGAACTCTTAGTACTATAAAGCTTCAAATATTTCTGACAAAAACAACGAAGACAAAGTTATTTTTTTGACTTTCTCGTATTGTAGGTTGTTCTGTGATTTCTTTTAGAAAATCAATAGTTATTGCTACAACAATATTTGTTGGAACGAGTAGGAAGCACAACAAAGTTTATTGGTGATCACTCAAGAAGTTTGTTGAAGCAATTTGCAGAGTCTTCAGGAAAAATAACAAAGCATTACTCAAAAAAACTACCTTGCTACTCCGTTATGAGACACAATTTAATATTGAAGTTTTCTTTCAGAGTTGTTAGACAGAAAGTGTCGGCAAGTGTTTGATGGTCGATTTAAAAAAAAAATTTCTTTTTTAAATGGCTTCGCAGTTTGAATATGCCATTTGATCAATTTTTAATCCAAATTTACTTTTACAACCGGTAAACTTCAATTTTTGGAGAACAAAAGCAACTGTAACTGAAGAAAGTAAAGGCATACGATTAGCAAAAGTCTGGTAATATTGAGAAATCCAAAAAAAAGCTAGATAAAAGGAAAAAGCAAATTAATTTTTTGAAGTGATCAATGATAATTTAAAGACTATTAAAAGTGTTCAAAATTATACTTTAACGCCAATAAAAATTAGTTTGACTTTTTTTGACTGATTTTATAGAATAATTCCATTTGTTTATAGCCTAGTAAAAATTTTTGAAAAACGTTGTAAAAATTGCAGAAATGCTTTTTAATTTATTATTGACCTAAGACACATGCTTCGGTTTTTTTTCTTTTCGTGATAAATTTTGTTTTTCTTTTTCAGATTTATTTTTAATGACAATTTCGCAGCAGGAAATAACGGTTAAAAAATCATTTAATTTGTTCACATTTTTACACAGCAAAACTCTTAGAATACGGCATTTAGAATAGGCGTTTTAGGTAGGATAGCCAATTTTATATATAGCTTTCAAAGTTTACAAGTCTCTCATTCTTAAATTACTTTTGTTTTGTTTGGAGAAGGTTCTTCCCTAATTAAAAATGCTTCAAAAAAGTCTTTTTTTTTACGATTAACCAATTATTAAATATAAAAATAATTATGCAAGCAAAAAAAA